GGCGGGAGGGGACGCGGGCGCGGTAGAGGGAGGGGGTGACGAGGGAGATTCTAACGGTGGTACGGGAAGTTGGGCACCGCCCCGAAGTATTTCGTTCTTTGTCCGGCGCTGTGGAAAGATCTTACCCTGATCCGCTGGTAGGACGTGATGTTCCCACGATAGTGGTCGCAAGTGGAAGAGTACTGCTGCGTTCGCAACAGGTTTCTGTCGATTTCATCGTCTCAGTAAAATGTAGTCCAATTAGTCAGTGATATTCTTTGCTAACTGTTCGATTCGCGAGCATATCAGGCGCCGCCAATGACGATTCACTCCCCCCGCCGAGGTTCATCGGGAATCATCACTCCTTCAGCTTGCGCGCGTCCTTGAAGGACTGATAATCTGAAGCTGGTTCGGGTGCGTGGCGTTGTTCAGCATGAGTGCGAGAATGGCAGAACGTTAAGATGACGGGTGTTTACTGGCGTCCTCGGGTTGAACCAACACCTGGCGGATTGTGGTACTTTGCTCGAGGAGAGTGGAAATCGCCTCTTCAGGCCAATGCAGCTGCGGGGCCCGTAGTTCACACAGCCTCGAGGCGCCGACCGGTCACAGTTGACAACAGATCAAAGGCCCTGTTCCGCTTTGATGACGGTTCACCTCATTCATTCGTCGTTTTCTCTTGCCACTGCTGTCCCATGAATAAGCGACTACCCAGGAGTGTTTTTCCTCAGCCTTTGCCGCCACAGATGGTATCGGCTCATTTCCCGCCGTTCCTTGTCGAGGTGCACGCGCGTATCCGCATATGCCAACTCTTACGCGAGGGGGAGGGCGGAATGTACGCATCGCGGGACGCCTAGAAACCGCCTCGTTGCCTCATTTCAACGGGATCCGTGCATTCGTAGTCCGCACGTGTCGCGATAAGAAGCTGGGAACGAACACAGAAATGCCGACCTCGTTCGAAACGCAGGCATCTGCACCATGATAACCAGCCGGGTTGCATGTAGACTTGAGCTTCAACGTGCTCCTCGTATGCTTTGTTGGGTTCCAGGCTGGGAAAGAGGGGGGCCATGGTCGCGGTTATACCAACCGCGAGGATGCCATGATGAAGAGTAAGAACGACAGCAGTACTCCATCCGTCCCCCCCCAAGGTAACTATCGCAATGGAGACGCCAGCGTCCTATGCTGTTGCAGTAACAATTTCGGTTGTTTAACGAATTTCTATGAGCGGCCTATCGATATACCTTCACGCATGAGCCTTTCCTAGTCACTAGCAGCGCGCGAAGCTGCCGCACAGCGTGTTGGGGGACTGCCGGCCTCCGTTCGGTGTGTCTTACGTTCAATGTATTGCGTCCCCAAACCTGAACAATAAAAAATATTTCTACCCAAAACAATTGGCGATCGATTCGCATACACCTACCAACATAATCCCCACACACCAGAGAGTCCCAATGTACCAGCTGACAAGATGGACTAGAACATTGAAGAAAACCGAGGCTCGATATCGACACCCCCTTGTGCGCCCTTGGACAGACAGGTGGCCGTAAGCCTTCGCCTGTTCGACATCAGAGGAGGCATGACCACCTCGCGGCATCTATAAACTGAAGAAGTAGAAGCCCATCCTTCCACACGTTCCCGCAATAGCGACGGCCAGGTTATTACCCTTGCACACCAATTGTCTGAAACTGAGTCCAGGGATTGGGGTACAGTCTCTCAGATGTGTGGGTACCTTTATTTGATGCCTTTGAAACACAAAATTGAAAATAAACCACAAACAGAGCACAATGGACAACACGAAAGACTTCGCGTACCAAGGACCACCATCGTTTCTGATACCATATGCATGTATCTACTGTACACAAGATCGACCTCTCCGATCCGTGAGCGGGAGTTGGTAGTCGCCGCGCTCCACAAGACAACCCGTTCAACGTACAAGTACGCCAACATAGCTCGCGGCCGTACGAAACAAACACCTTCATTCCAGCACAAGTACACCATTCCAGCGAATTTACAAAAACACTTGACTTCACCAGAACAATACTCCACGCGCGTATGCAGCAGTCTACTTGGCATTTGTCCTCCAAAAACTATTTACTTTGCGGAGAATACAAAATTCTCCACAATGGCACGCACCACTTGCGTATCACCTCCAAAATTATCTTTCGTTCGTGGTCACATGTTACTCCGGGCAGCCATTCGCCCGGGACCACGCGAGCACCCGTCTCCTCCTGCACATGGCGGCCGTCCGAGCCGTGTTCTCATCCCAGGGGCACCCGTGCGCCCGCGCCCACTTCAGCACCCCCAAACGCCCCCCCTCCGCAGCCGCCGTGCAGGTATCCTCGTCCCACGGGCAGTCCTGCGACCTCAGCCACCTCAAGACGCCCAGGTGGCCCCACCGGGCGGCCCCCGCGCAGGCCTGCTTGTCCCAGGCGCAGCCCTTCTCTCGGGCCCACTTTAGGACGTGGAGGTGCCCGCCCTGTGCCGCGGCTCGGCAGACGCGCGCGTCCCACGGGCAGTCCTGCTTTCTCGCCCACTGCAGGACGTCAAGGTGGCCGCCTGGAGCGAAGGCGTGCGAGGAAGGAAGGGATGATATGGCGGGTGGGTGCATTGTTGGGAGTGTTTTCTGGGCTAGGACACGAGACGTGCACGACTGTTTCTTCGCTCGCGCGTGTATCTGTAGTAATGGTTCGAGAACATTTCCCGCAATGGTAGACTAAAAACCCAAACCTCCATCTCCTTCTGGTGGCAAATACTTTCCTCCTGATCGTTATATCTCTCGATAGACTACTTCCCTGGTGGCCAAAGGTCAGGGTGTGGTACCGATTACAACTTGGGGGGGGGGAGGGTGCACCCCGAAGTGAGCGGGTAATCCCGCGTGTTGTAAAGCAGTATTGTTTTCATTCCAACTGACACGGTGGGCTGGCAGCACAATTTAGAATAAAAATTTGTTCAAGGTCGCGATCCCGGGCTCCCGACCCCCCCACCCAACCCTTGACAGGTTGCGATCGTTGTTGCATACCGCTATGCTGGTTATGTTGTCTCCAACAGCCGTCTCACCTTCGCCGGCAGCCATGCACGTCAATGCATCCCAGGGGCATCCGTGTTCTCTCGCCCACTCCAAAACGTTGAGGTGTCCTCCCCGCGCCGCCCTGCTACACGTGGCCTCGCTCCACGCGCAGCCGTTCGCCCTCGCCCACTGGATGACCTTTTCAACGAATAGACATTCCAGCCGCATTAGCACGTTTTTTTTGCATCAAAATGTTTGCCCCGTGTGAGCGAGCGTAAATCATATGTTACCGATCCCGCAAAGTTGACAGGATTATTTCAAGGTCTCACGGATTCCTCTCAACACAAAAAAAAACACTTGGAAACCTGCCTCTTTCTGATCATGGACGAGATAACCCGCACATACTGGTTGGCTGCCCGACAGCTACGCCCAATAACCCTGACCCCAACCCTACGAGCATCACCAGAGGCACTGCTACAACAGCCTCATCGGCACAACTCCTCTCTTGTTATACATACTGATGCTGTTTTACCTCTAGGTGTCCTCCCGAAGCGGCCTTGCGGCAGGTATACTCGTCCCAGTCGCACCCGTTCTCCCGCAGCCAGACGAGCACCCGCAGGTGTCCCCCCCCCGCTGCGGCCATAGCGGTATTCGCGTGCCAGGGGCAACGGCCGTTCTCCTCGGCCCTCGCCCACTCCAGCACGTGCAGGTGCCCTCCCTCCGCCGCCGCCGCCGCCGTGCGGTGGCTCCAGGGGCAGCCCGACCTCCTCGCGGCGGCTAGGAGGTCGAGGTCTCCGGTGCCGGCGAGGGCGGTGCAGACGCCGACGCGGTCCCGCGGGAGGCCGCTCGCGAAGCGGT